AGACCATAAACAGGAACTTAAAGTGAGACAAGAAAGATTATCAAGAAAAGAAAAGGTTATAGGAAAAATACCGGGTTCAAAGGAAAAAGTTACTTTTAAAGTACAACAGCAACAATGAAAACTATAGGAGCCTGAGGCCATTTAGTGTAGAGGCAAAAACATTTATGCCTAGATAGGTCCTAAGGGTATCACTGAATCGTAGCATAGTAAATAAATTACAGCCACTATGAAAATGATGAATCAGTCAGGTTTGGTATACTTTCTTTAAAAAGTGAGAAAAGTTGTAATACATTTAAGAAATTTTCTTTTTTGTGTGTTCAAATGGACATTCTTCAGTCATGCCCTAAATTCCCTAGTTGTAACTAGTCATTCATTTCTCTATGATGCTTGATAGATGAAATAGGACAGTAATGGACGTCTCAGCTATTATTGTGCTTAGTTATTTCTTCCATTGGAAGCTCCCACTTCCTGAATGCTACACTGATTAGACTATATTCAGAGTATCAGGTTCAACAGGGGATAGATCCACATTTTGTGGAGTCTGAAGATTACACAATACAGAGGCTTCTTTAAGAAAAAACCCCACAAGTATAAAAGAAGGTACAAAAAGTATTTATTTAGAATAAAAGTCACAACCAATTACAAATTAAAAAATTCACAAGAACCAGACATCACCAAATTCAGAAAAATATCTTGATGTTTTAAATTAATTAACTGCCTAGTATACCTTTAACAATACATTTTCCTACATCTTTTGACTGCATACTCTTTGATTTCTTCTTCATATGAAAATGATTTTGTTACATTTTGTTCTATAGAGTTAATAGATAGTTCAGTCTTTCCACTAGTGGAGTTGATTGAAATTTATTTTTATTATTGGTAGTTTAGAAGACTTTCTTTCCAGTCTACAACTCATTATTGGGAAAGTTACATACATTTTTTAAGATAGTGGTCAAATTTGGGAAAATCTGTACCAAATTTCTTTTACATATACAGAATAAGATGTGAGAGGATTTTCCAATTCTAGTTCTGGATCCATACATTTCAAACATTACCCCATTGCCTACATGCTTCTGTGCTGAGCCCCAAAGCATTCATTTGCTGATTGGTCTCTGGCCATCCACCTTCGTGTCACAATACCAAGTGACCCAGGTGACGGTAGGCCTTCAAGCAGTCAGAATAGATGCTACTGTTCCAATGGGCTGTAATGCCCATGAACCACATACATTTTTTCCATTTAACTAACTCAGCTTCCCCTTAGCCAGATCCCCAAAATGCCAGCAATCACTTCAGTGCTTCTGGACACAAGGGAAATTATGACTGAAGGGAAGTTAGAGTACACAGAGACAGCAATCTTTTAAGATGAAAATATTTTACTTCCAAAACTTTTACAGAAATATAATACCACATGAATATACTTCTAGGACCCCTCTTGTGGTGCTGGAAGAGGCTTGAATTTTAAGTTTCCTGGAATCTGCCTTTGGGTTTAGCTTTGAATGCTATGCTTCTGGAGGAGTGCTCAAAGGTGAGCACGTTCATAGAAAGGAGGTAATGGAGGACGATGAAGGGTCAGGACTCTGCCTTATGATAAACAGCTAAGGGCCATGCAAAGATCTTGGAAGAGAAAATTCAAGGGGTTCCCAAGTCTGTCTTTAGTCCTTGTAGCCCTGTGAGGTGAAAGAAGTATTTCAACTGAATATAAGGAATCACTGTCTAATGTTAGGCCAGTTTAAATGTAGAATTGACCAGCTAATGAAATACTGAGTTTTCTTCACAGGAACAGCTCAGGAAGAGGCTAAATGAGAACCAGTCAGGGATCCTGTGAAGTGGAGGCCCCAGTTTGGGGAGTGGTAGTGACAGGGATGGGGAGTGTGGTATGAAAGAACCTAACCTTTACACACTTTTGCAAGTCTGAGATTTTAAGATGACTTTGCTATTAACCTTATTTGAAGCCTCAGCCTCATGTTTAATGCCTGATACATAGTTTTTTTTTTTTAACATCTTTATTGGAGTATAATTGCTTTACAATGGTGTGTTAGTTTCTGTTTTATAACAAAGTGAATCAGTTATACATATACATTATGTTCCCATATCTCTTCCCTCTTGCGTCTCCCTCCCTCCCACCCTCCCTATCCCACCCCTCTAGATAGTCACAAAGCACCTAGCTGATCTCCCTGTGCTACGCAGCTGCTTCCCACTAGCTATCTATTTTATGTTTGGTAGTGTATATATGTCCATGCCACTCTCTCACTTTGTCACAGCTTACCCTTCCCCCTCCCCATACCCTCAAGTCCATTCTCTAGTAGGTCTGTGTCTTTATTCCTGTCTTACCCCTAGGTTCTTCATGACATTTTTTCTTAGATTCCATATATATGTGTTAGCATACGGTATTTGTCTTTCTCTTTCTGACTTCACTCTGTATGACAGACTCTAGGTCCATCTACCTCATTACAAATAGCTCAATTTCATTTCTTTTTATGGTTGAGTAATATTCCATTGTATATATGTGCCACATCTTCTTTATCCATTCATCCGATGATGGACACTTAGGTTGTTTCCATCTCTGGGCTATTCTAAATAGTGCTGCATTGAACATTGTGGTACATGACTCTTTTTGAATTATGGTTTTCTCAGGGTATATGCCCAGTAGTGGGATTGCTGGGTCATATGGTAGTTGTATTTGTAGTTTTTTAAGGATATATGGGACTGCTTTTAAGGTGAGAGAAAAAGGTTTTGTTTTTTAAACCTAAGGGCAGCAATAATGATCCATTTTAGCTCTATTTAATTTTATGCTTTTTTGTTTAAAGCCAGATTGTAAGACAGCGCTTAATCAACACAGGAGGTTAAGGGCTGCAGTTGTGGGGTTGCTGAGTCTAGAGCAAGTTGTAGAAAGAGAACATCATGTGGGATCTTTCGGGATCCCTACTCTTCCAGCAAGTACAAGAATAGGACCATTTTTTTTCTTTTGTGTGTGTGTGGGGGGGGCGTGGGGGGGTTGTTCATCAATTCACTGGAGTAGCCTAGCAATGATGCCTGGGATGGAAAGATCCAGAGGAATAATGACTCAGGGCTTTTTGTGACATGTGACAGAACACAACTGAAACTGCCTTGAGGAAAGGAGGGGGATTTTTGCCTTCGGGGGTAGAGTTCACTTCAGATATATTTGCCTCCTAAGTCTCAAAAGATATCATCCCCTCTCCCACAGTTTTCCTTCTCTTGAAGTTGACTTGACTTCATTTTTAGGCATTGGTGGTATTTATCACTGGCTTATATCCTTCCAAATAAGTTATTCTAGTTTGAAGGGCTTCTTTTTCTGAACTGATTCAGCAAAAACCCCAGATTGAGTTCCTGGACCAATATGCCTATCCCAGAACCAATCACTGTGGTCTGGAATATGAAGACTGGCCAGTTCTGGGGAGTGAGGGTGGGAGGTGTCAGTATCCTGGAACCACAGAGACTCGTGGGCAAGGGGGGAGGGGTAGTTCCCAAAGGAAAAATGAATAGCTGTTATCAGAGAAATGGATAATACTGAAAGTACATACTCAAAAAACCGTAAATAAGGATATCCATTATTTGTGGAAAAAATGTTTTGGGACTTCTTTCCTATGGTTGTAGTTAAACTGTAAAATCGAGTAAATCTTTCCCTTATCCAGATCGATAATCACGCATAGTGGGTAATCGTCTTATATGTCAGCGTTTTTACTCTTTCCCCTAAGTGGGACTGAGTCAATGAAGATGCTACAAAAGAAGTAAACAGAAAGCTGAAAGTATTAATACGGTAATTTTTAATTTGAGTGCCCTCTTTAGGCAAAGTAGCTGGGAGGGCTTTCAATAATCCATTTTTAATCGTGACCACACCCCGTGTAGGTGACCCGAGTATTACCGTCTTGCCCTTGCAGTTGGGGAAACCGAGGCATGACACTCCTCCATTCAGCCTTCCGGGGGGAGTTAGGAAGAGTCCAGCCTGCTTGACCTCAGAGGGTCTTCCTCCTCCGCGGCGCCTCTCGGAACCCTCATGTCTTTCGGCATCGCAGAAGGAGAGCAGCTCGGGCTCCGCCGCAGCCTCGGCATTCGTCCTTCGCCCAGCTGCATCCGCCCCGCTCTCCCACACCTTCCCCGGGAAGGTCCAACTGGCCAAGGTCTGGCAGTCCCTCCCGCCCTCTCCCCTCACCCCTCCCGCCTCCCCCACTCTGGTCCCTGACGTGCAGGAAGCCCCCAGCCCAGCGCCCCGCAGGGAGGTGCGGGCAGATGCCTCCCGGGCTTCCAGCGGGAGGGGCGCCGACGCCGCGGGAGGTGAGCGGCCCGCACCCTTCGCCCCCCGAGGGCCAGGGCGGGCACCGGGCACTCTGGGCCAGAGGAAAGTGGCAGCGCGAGGGAGGCCGGGCGAGCCCGCGGGGAGCGGCGAGAGAGGGCGACGCGGGCGGGCCGGCGCACGGCTCGCGGGCGACGCCTGGAGAGCGAGCGGCGGGGAGCCAGGCGCTGCGGGGCCGCTCGGGGACGCGCCGCGCCCGGGCCGCCGAGCTCGCCCATAAACCTGCTCCGGACGCCCAGACCCCTGGCGCCCTCCCGAGAGCGGGCGGGAGATATGGCTTCGCGCGTCCCCGCCACTGCCGCCGCCGCCGCCGCTGCTGACTCGACAGAATCGGCGGGCCGCGCGGGGGGCGCGGCGTAACCCGGGGGTGGGCGGCGGCGCGGAGCCGCCCGGGGAGCTCCGGGCGTCGTTGGGAGCGAAGGAGGATGCCAGCACAAAGGCGAGCCGAGACCCAGCCCGCTGCGGAAGGCGGCGGGAAGAGCCGCTGAGGGGCGCGTCGGACGCGCTCGGCTCCGCGCTGCGTCTCTCGTCGCTGCCTCGGAGTCGCCGGGTCGGAGACGGCCGCGTAGGGTCCCTCGGCCCCGTGGCAGCGGCCGCCGCAGCCGGGAGCTGCATGCTACGCGCGGCGGCGCCCCCGGTCGCCTGCTTTCCCCGCGGCGTGCGCGGGCCGGCCGGAGGGCGCCGGGGCCGCGGGTCCGGGCGACTGCGGGGGCGCCCTGTCGCCCGGCGGCCCCGTCCCCACCCGCAGTCGGCGGCAGCGGGCGCCGAGTCCCAGGTGAGTGCGCGGCCCTGGCCTGGCCCTCGCGCCGCAGGTACCGGACAGCGGGAGGTGGCTTTGTTTTCCTCCCTCTCGCCCCGGCGCAGTCATTCATTTGACATTTCGGCTTCCGCTGCCCAGAGACGCGGGTGAGAGGCACTGGGACGTGTTTCAAGGTTTGGTTCTCCTGGGGAGCTGAGACTTTTGGGTCCATTTGAGCGTCACTTGAGGGAGCGGAGGCTTCATTTCCTTTTTGGTTTGGAACGTGTTGTGAACATCCTCTGCGGGGGCTTGGGGCCTGGAGGAAACTGGGGCTGCAGATTTAGACGTAGACGTTTCCGAGGACGTGCAACTGCAGAGGTCTGGCTCTTACATGCCTTGTGTTTTCCGCTATTAGCAGAGCTCAGGTGTTTTTCCTTGATTATTATTAATTTAGGAACAGCTTTACAGGTACATTTATTTCTTTTAGAGTTGGAAGTCTTTGGAGACAATACAGAGAGCTCACAGAGTTACAGGGGATCAATCGATAATAAACTTGGAGAAGGCAAGCGTCAGCAATCCTCGTAGGTAGAGGTGAACGGTAGGCAAACTTCCCGGGGGCCTTTAGCCTTCCCAGTACGGTTTCTGCTTTCACCGTCCTAGAGTCAAGCAAACTCTGAATTCTCATTGTACGTATGCCTTTGTCAAAGTGTGAAACTTGTCTTTTTTTGAATAGTTTTCTAGTTTGTCATTTGGAAGAAAAAGATTTTAATGTAATTATTAGAGTCCTCTATTAGACCTGGTGAAATTTCATGTTTTCATTTGTCTCATAAGTATGATTTTCATTTTACTATTTCTCCTGTTCCCTCAAGGGCTCATTTCTTCTGTTGCCTAGAGAGAGCTCCACCCGCTCCCCCTCCAACAGATGGCTGTGTGTTCTGAGAGGTTATCTTTAAAATGACACTCACATTACCTGTAAACAAAAAGGATCAGTTATTAGGCTTATCTTTGGAGTTATTAAAGCAAGAAGCCTAATCTGGATGGGGATATTATTAATGGTCTGAAAATCTGGAGTTTGCTAATCTGTTTGGGCATCAGAAGATTCCTGCAGGGATTGTTTATATAGTGTGGGAGACAGATGGCATCCCTAGCAGACAAGAGAAGCCCAGCATAAAGGGTCATTGTATTCTTCAGAAATTATCCACTTCACTGTTGGGAGATGGGGTCAGGTGGGGAAGCCATAATTTTCATCTCCCAAGGGAGGCATTATAACCTTATCATCCAGCAGCCTAACCAGTTAGTTTCTTTTTTCTGTGAACATTTAAAAAGTCATTATTGAGCTGTTTGTTTTGATTATTACTTCGGCCCATTTTGGCCTCAATTGTGGTTATGTGAAGCAGTTTAAACAGTTATATTAACAAAAATGTCTTTGCATTTAAGATTATCGTATCACTGGGAAAAAGCAGTTGTATACAAATGGCCCCTTGGACTCATAGTGTCTCCTAGCTGGAAGGACTTAGTCCAATCTGCATGAATTCAAAAGGAGTTTCTTCTACCATCTCTGTGACAGGTGGTTCCCTGGCTCCCAGCATTTGTCATGAGACTCTCAGCTATGGGTAGTACTCTACTTTTATAAGACTTAACAGCCTAAGACATTTGCTTTATCATTGCCTCCATCACAGCATTGAACAGCCTTGGGCAGTGAATCTTTTTGAATGACTGTGGAGTCCGTGAAGAAATCAGTCATTCTGAACATTTGAGATAAGCCAGCTGGAGCTTTTCTGCTCCTACCACCATCATAGATTCTTCTGTGCTGTAGATTCCAACTAGATTGCAAAATTGGTCTCCCCTCTGCATGCATGTGAGGGAGAATATTCCAGTGAATTAATAGTCACTAACCACAGGACTAAATTTAATGAAGAACATGAGCAATGTTTGACCCCCCTGAACAGGAAGTATGGGGTAAAAGTAAGCACTGGCTCTGTTTAATGTGGGAACTGTGATCTTGAGGGAAAAAAAAACATATTTTCTTACTTTTTTCAAATCCTTCTGCACCACTGATCTCAGCAAAAGACAAAGAAACCAAGGTTGTTACCTGTAGCTGAGGACAGATGCCATAGCCATTTCTTTTGGATGAATGTGTGCTGCTGGAGAGGTAGCTTTCGGGCTCTGTCCAGTTTCATTGTGTGCCTTGGCATCAACAAAAGGGTCTAACATTCAAATTCGGATTGTTAAATCCGTGGCTGGTATCTGTGTACCTTCTCACCAGGTTGCTTCCTTTCTTGTGAAGTATTCCTTTATGAGAAACCCGAGGCACCAGGCCCGGGGCTTACTGGGCACCTGGCCTGCATCCACATTCTAGTGTGTTGCTGCCTGCTTTCTTGAGTAAAAATGGAGCCAGTTTTGCACGAATAGGGAATGGCAGGGTGGAGTGAAAACATTTCCAGCTCCATTGTGGAAAGCCAGGCCTGGCCTGAAAGAGAGAAGACTATATTTGAAGTTCGGTTGATGTAGCAGAGGCAGAATTGCTTCTTTACACATAGGATGTCTTTTGTGTGGGAAAATGTATGAGGGATTAGAAGGGTGACTACACCCTCTGGTTAGCCTGCAGTAGTCCTGGTTTTTTCCTGTTGACCTATCTGAATTATCAAATGCATCCCCTTTCACATTTAAAAGTGCCCTGGTTTGGATGATAAATTATGTGGTCACCCTAGATATTAAGGAATCTTCACTATTTTCTTCACCACCCTCTCCTGACTTCAAATTTTGAGTCTGGCTTTGTTTCAGTCTTTAATTTGTTAAATGCAAAGGTAAGAAAGGTAAAAAAAAAACAAAACCCAAAAAACCCAAAAAATGCATAAGGAAAAAAGAAATAGCAAGGAAGACAAAAGACTGATGTAATTGGTTGCTTGTCATCTATTTATACATATAAGAAATAAAATAGTTTTTTCCTTGACATATTAAGTGTCTACTCTGGCTCTGAGCCCAGGTTATTATTGTCTTCGAGCACAATAAGAATGTGCCTGTTTACCTAGGGCTGGCATGAATTGGGACAACTCCTATGATTTGGGAGAGCAGCTTCAACAAAATTCTGTTTGCAGACCTGATGGGTACATGGCTTTTGCAGATATGAATGAAAGTTTCAAGATCTAGTGTTTGGTCAAGTTCTTGGAATTTACTGAGAGACCAAAACACATGTGTCGTTGTGAAGACTTGACTCCACATTCTCCTAGTTTCCAAGCCCTCTGGGCCACGAGGATAATAGAAGAGCCTTTGTTTTCTGCCCTCTCTTTTGACTAGAGTCTTGGGTTTGGGTCTCAGTTTTTCAGACAAAGGGCTTGCAGAGAAGAATGTGCTGTGCCCACTCATCACGTGAACATTCTCATAGGGGCTGGAGATTGTGCAGGTGACCTGGTGGGGATCTGAGTTCTAAAGCTAGGTATATGAAGCTTGTGGCATGTACTTCAACAATGGCTGTGCTCCTTGGCTAAAGAATTGCCTGTTTGAAAGAGTTCACTTGCAGCGCTGGCCAGCAGGTGTTACAATTAATTATGGCTGTCACTTTTTCCACACCCACTCTGCTAAAATCCTCCAAAGCTTGGTTGGCATGCTTGAATAAGAAGAAATGTATGTATCTTCTTTATGAGTAGGATAACCATGTAATTATTTTTGCTCAGATAAGGACACTTTTGAGAGTAAAAGGGGATACTGACTGGAAGGGGCACCAGATCAAACAGTATAAACTGGGCTATCCCAGGAAAATTATGATGGATGGTTGTCTTAACTATTACCTAAGTCATTAGCTTTTATATGAAGAATGCCCATATGATGGAAAAATGTCCTTAGCTTCTTCTAGATTTGTTCAACATATGTCTAATGTGTGCATGCACATATGTGTATATGTATATATACAAACATTGATCATATATCTATAGATATGTGTATTGTGGGGTTGAAATTAACTACTTACGAAGACCTAGTCATTTGGAAAATTGTGACTTTCATCATTTTTTTCATGGGTTGACTTTTAAACTAAAAAAAAAGTCCAGCCTCTCCAAACTTTAAATCATCTTCTGACCTTGTGCAGTTCTCTTGCTTAAATCATTTGATAGTTCTCCATTTTCTGTTTAATTCTCAAAGTAAGATCCACAGACAGATTGGTGGCTAAAAAGGAAAAGCAGTGAAAACATTTCACTTATTCATTCATTCACTCAACTACTATTTATTTAGCACCTTCCATGAATCTAGTTGCTGAATGAATAAAACTGCCCTTGTGAAGTTTTCTTTCAGTTGGGAGTGGAGGGGTAGGAGTGGGAGATGCACAATAAACCAAATTATATAGCATGGTAGAAGGGGATAAGTGCTTTGGAAGAAAGAAAGTAGAACAGGATAAATATAGTTGAGTAGCCTTCATGAAGAAAGAGACCTTAAGCAAAGAGTTAAAGGAAGTGACAGAAGTTACTCATACAGATACCTGGGGAGCAGTGTTCCAGGCAGAGGGAACAGCCAGTGCGAAGGCCTGAAGGTGAGAATGTGTTTGGATGTGTTCAAAGGTTAGCAAGAAGACCAACACAAGGGGGTGGGGTGATGGGGGGGACTTCGAAATGTGAATCAGAAAGATAGTGTAGGAGTGGCAGAGCATGTAGGACCTTGAAATATGAGAGTAATTACAATTTCATCAGAAATCCCATTATGTTCTTAAAAGTTATTATGATATAAAAAATTGTGTTCATGCTATGAAGACTGCACTGGTCAATATAGCTTACATTTCATAAGCACTTCATCATGGTGCACTTCATCTTGGTTAATATACTTTTTATGTCATTTGCTTATTGTTTATTTGTTAAAATAGCATAGTTTGTTGTTGCTGGTCTTAAATTATATCTCAGTTTCACAAAAATAGATCAGTGGCTCAAAAGTGGTTCATTGCAGTGTGAAAATAGTGATGAAAATAGTAATGTAAATGCTGCAGTTCCGAATGTCATAAACATACTTATAGAACCGAATCCCATTCCAAATATAAAATGTGTATCTGTATG